GTCGTGGTGGTCGTGGTGGTCGCGGTGGTCGCCGTGGTCGTGGTCGTCGCGGTGCTCGCGGTGCTCCCGGTGCTCGCAGTGCTCGTGGTGGTCCGGTTGCTTGCGGTGCTCGTGGTGCTCGTGGTCGTGCTGGTATCTTCGTGCAAAGTGCGTGCCCTTTGACTCGTTGAGGATCTACGCTGGCTGACTTTGATCTCTACTGTAGCCGTCGGGCAGTGAATCGAAATTCCTATTTACTGTGCAAGCGGGATTCTCCAGGATACCATCAGCAGCAGCGCCAATGTCAACATGAATGCAATCATCGCAGTCTCGAGAAACGACACCTTGATGCATCCAGAACTGGTAGGCCCCGGCAAGCCACTGTGCAAATGCATGCTGACCCGGACCCCTCACAGATCTTTCGATGTTCTCCCCTAAGCTGTCACTCCTTGGTGCATGGCGCGCCTTCGACAAGTTCACCTTCTTTGAAGTCCGCAATCTTCCTTGATTCATCCAAAGCAGAGTACCGTAATACTCCGAGTCGACGTGCAGCTGAGATTGTATAAACTGAGGTCGGCCGTTGGTGCCCGAAACGAACCAGCTTTCGTCACGGTTCGGCAGTGTGGGATGTGTGATGTCATGCTGGAGTTTCCTTCACATTCCTTCCCGAATGCGTCCTCTTCGTGCTCCCATGAAAGAACCCAGCCAATCTAATGACCTCCACTTTTGACCACTGAGATTCCACGGGCCAAAAACTCAGCCCCCCATTGCTGTTACTTTTTTTTCGTCCCCTCTCGCCTGCTCGGGGTCATCCTGTTGAGTTTGGGAAAAAACACTCCATCTTGGCTAAACTCCAACTAGCAATGCGTCGCAATCAGGTTACTCAACTGTACTCCAAAATCAGTGTACTGAAAACTCCAAACTGACATTGCTTTGCCCTGCTGGAATTACTAGACGTCCCGCAACTGTCCTTTTCATCTCTGTCTTACCAGGCGTTTAGAGGACCCATGGCTGCACAATGTCGTCGCATTCTCACCAGGCATCAAATATCATCCGACCCTACCTGACAAGCGGAGGTTGCTGACGGACGGAGGGGCGGACCCGAGCAGAGGCGCGACGCGGGGTGGGAGGAGGGTTGATAGATGGATAGTATCTGTCGGGAGGAAGCTCTAACCACTTCAGGTTTCTGGAAGGGATACGCGCAGCTCACGGTGGAAGGCGAGTATATGATGGGTGGGGTACCGGTGGAGACTCAAATCCTGCTGCTGGTTTCAAGGATTACCACACGTCGAACACCACTTTTCTCGAATCGCCACCATATTCATTCAACTCCATAGCACCTCTGTGATAGTTGCCAGGCCCTGCCACGTGTCTTCTTTGCTTGCTCGCGCTACATCTAGATCTGCAGCATGCGGCCGTTTGTGCACGACAGCGGCTTCCTCAGCAGCCAAGTCCTGATGACTCATTCGAGCAATGCTTCAATCGAGGCACACATTCGGATGTTCAGCACGCGTGAGGGCACGGCACATCAGCGTCCTCGTCCATTTCCATGAGGACATCCAGTGTCATCGCATGAACCTTCCTTTCTGCCCACTTCGGATGCCTGCATGTAGTTTGCATGCAAGCCCACTCCTAGCTAGTCATCGGCTATCATACCGGTGTCCTGCCAGCAGAAGCTGACTGATTCCCCCATAGTCTTAAGACACCGCTTCAAGCTAAGTCATCGATGTATGGCCTTGCAGCAAAAGTCTAGCCTGCTCACTCGTTCTCGTACCCTATGCTACCATGTTGGCCTCCCGGCCGCTTGCTGTCGCAGCAAGGCAAAGGTGCAGCAGTGCAAGCTCCAGGCACAGGCAGCCTCAACTGTTTGCTCGAGGCGTTCCGTCATGCAGCTCCAAAGACTGCTTAGAAATGGAGGATGAGATGCATCTGCGCAGGCTGCCAGTACACAGGACGGAAGTCCGAGGATAGGAATTCAGCATGGCAGAGCAATTGAGCGCTTCTGGTGCTGGGATGAGGCTCAGAGTCTGGCGAGGAAGATCCACAAGCAGACGGCTCCACGGGTGAACCTTGAGCGAACCTGCGAAGACTTTTCTTGTGCACAGAAACTTTTGTTTTATGTCCTGCAGACACAGCAACGGCCAACCCCAACGTCGTTGCATGCCGTCAAGTCACGCGGCTTCTCTGCATCGTCTGCACGGAAAGTGCAAAACATGGAAAGGCTTGCAGCGCTGTAAACCTGGTTTGCATAGATCGGATTCTACCTGGTTCTGGCTGTACGTGAGTAGAATCTGGGTAGAACTTCAAGTCATGCTTTCGTGCTGAGCTCAGTCCTGCTTTTGTACCTACGTGCATTAAAATGCAATTTCCTCCATCATGACTCATAACATTGAGCTTGGCTGTGGAGCAGAGTGGATGTGCAATGCGAAGTTTATCCGCAGGCATGTGCGAGCAGTCGCAAGCTGTTAATGCTTTTGCTGGGCCCGGGCTTCGAGAACTTCTCGAAACACCTGACAACCCAGACGGCAAGAAAAACCGACGAAACAGAAGTGTCAGAGCTTCGAGCCCCCTCGAGCCTCCACAGCCGCTTCGGGCTGAACTGCAGCCTCTACTCAGCGGTGTGCCGGGACTCTGCTTTCCTCTGTGCAACTGAGTTCTGCGCCATGCGCTCGATGAAGCGGGCGATGAGCATTACGGACACCGGCGAGACTGTGAAGCGCCGAGCGTATCTGCAACAAATGGGGCTAGGATTGCCTGCCTTGCGACGACCTCTACGAATCAGGTCAGCCTGGTTGCCATGCCCAGGCAATCCTAGGACAAAGCCGATGCTGGTGACTAGTAGCGCACGTACGCGATGCAACGCTTGATGGCTGGCGATGCAAATGCCTGATCCTGCGTAAAGGCTCCACGCGATCACTGCTAACGAGAGCCGTCTCGAAACAACTTTCTCAGAAGCAAACTCCATGGGCCATGCGTCGGCGAAGTGTGTCACCATCTGGCCGAGGGCAGCGATACCTCGGGACTGACAACTCTCCACAGATCCACAGGGAAGACCACAAGGGGCTGCAGCAAGATGCACAGCAGCTCAGAGTTGTTTCCTCAGGGCTTTGCAGCCGTCGCGCGCTCTCTGCCTGAGGCAACGAAAGGGCGTTTACTGCAGGCAAAAGGCTAGCGCCTAGCAACCTCAATGAACCTCGCATACAAGTTCCCGATTGAATAGGCCAAGATAGGCCGAGGCCCTAGCAGGCCACCTGCGCAATGCTTCAAGGGCAGCCTGCATACCAAAACGAGTTTCAGCATGGGTCCATTGGAGTTCTTCCGCAAGTCATATTGACGTGTTCCGTGCATCCGTTTCTTTCCTTGTGATTCGACTGAGTGTGGAGCAGGTGTTTGAACCTCGCACGGCTTCAGGTAGACCTGGTGGAGTGGAAAGACGGCTGCTGTAACCAAGTGCATAGGGCTTAAAGCTGTTCACATTCGAGGCACATGGTCTCTCACAGAAGCGGAGCTTCTGCGTCTTTCCGTACATCACGGGAATGGGAGACTATCTTCCACAGTGCTCTAATATCACAGGCGGGCCCAATAGGGGGGTAAAAAAACCGTGTTCCAAGCCTTGTCCTGGTCAGCAGAGTGCGGGGCAAAGCCCAAGGCTGCAGCGCCGGCCTGCAGAAACGAACAGGATCCCCACATCTGGGGGTTTCCGAAAATTAGGGGTACCTTATTTTGTGGTCCTTATAATAAGGATCCTATTATTTAGGGTACTAAATTGGGGCCACAAGATGTGAGTTTCCGAAAATAGGGACCCTAATATGGTACCCTAAATAATCGGATCCTTATTATAAGGAACCCTAATGTTCGGAAACTCCCACATCTTGTGGGCAAACGCCGATAGGAAGAAAAAAATTGCCGGCTTCCAGCGTGATCCCGTGCACTTTGAGAAAGAGCGTTTTGATGTCGCCACCTCGGTAGACAGTGCATTAAGAAGAGGACGAGAGCTGATACGCCTTCATCATGACAATGAGCACAGGCTGCCACTTAAATCCAGAGCCCGCAGGTTGTTGCTCAAGCACACCTGGAGCCTCAGACTGTCCAGACCGAATAGGGTTTTGGGGCCCATTATACTATAATTATAATAAGGAACCCCAAAATAGTATTGGTAATTATTAATACTACTGTGTTGGCACTCTTGACATGTCGCTATGGTGAAGCGGCGAAATCAAGCTCCGGACTCACCACCTAAGGGGGCAAGAGCCAGCGCCAAAGCTGGTACCTGGAAACTCAAGCTGTGAGCTTGCTGCGGTGCTTCGTAGCTCTTCGTGATACGTGAAGACGATGGAAAAAAACAGAAAAGGTCTGCAAATGTCAGGATGCGAAGCTTTGTCTACCGGAATCGACGCAAAGGCTTTCGGATTGCTAAATCGCCTGAAATAATGTATATTCCGGCTTGGCCCTGTAAATTCATTGCCAAGCTGCTCCGACATGATCTGCCACGTTCGAGCTGAAGACCCGGTCGAACTGTCCTTGGCATGAAAAACGTGCGCACCATACGGGTAGTTCTCTAAATTAGGGTCCCACTTTAGGTCCCCATTATAGTACGGCACCCTTATAAAAAGGACCCCAAAAGGGACCCTAATTTAGATAACTACCCATACTCTTGGCAACGAAAGCCCAAGATCAAGGGCAGGCGGAGACGGCAAACTTCTTTGCGTGGCGGACGATGACTTCAAATGCATTGCTTTCACTGCATCAAGAATGCAGGCACGAAAGCATGATGCCCGCACGTCTACAAACCTCAGGTAGATGAGCAAAAAAGGTAGTATTAATAATTACCAATACTATTTTGGGGTTCCTTATTATAATTATAGTATAATGGGCCCCAAAACCCTATTCTAATATATTTCGCCCGGCCGTCAGCGACACTGCACCGACTAGTGTTTCTCCAACTCTGCGGCTCTAAGCCTCGCATGGGTGTTTTATAACTGGGATTCGGCATTTCAGAGTTTCATATTGTGAAGGTTCCTGTTATTTGTGCCTCTGAATACGGGTCCCGGTTGCCCGAAGCTCCCATGTACGGACTTGCGGCGTGGGATCTTGGGATCCAGGCTTTCGAACGTAAGGGCTTCGGGTTAAGAACTTAGGGTTTGGAGTCTAGAGTTCAGGGTATTCGGGATTTTAGGGACCATGTTTTTTGCAAGCAGCATGACACTTCAGGAAGCCCTGCAAAAGCGTTGCCTCAAGTGCGGACGAGCTGCTTCCTGTGAGGTGCACTGGCAAAGCCTCGAGAGGTGCCCCAAGCAGAGCGCGGCAGACCGCTCTGGACTAACAAATCATCAAATCTGCAGTCCTGGGGCCTGGGCAAGACAGTCGCAAGCGATGCAGGACCAGCTGACTCTCTGATGCTGAAACCTTTCATCGACCACACATTTGCAGGATAACCGATGTCTCGATCTGAGGGCATCGCCATGCTTCTGATATCTCTGCCATCACCGAGAGAAACCTCGGCCTTAAGTCAGCAAACGACGGAAAATCTCTGTCTGCCCGCAAGATCGGAGAATGAGTGCGTGACAGCAGTGCTCCGCAAGCTCGAAGATACTCGCCTCGACCGGGCTGACCCTGGTCCTGGCAAGGCAAAGAGTGGAAAGACCCTCACAACTCCAGACAAGCCCTTCCGCTTTGGTTTTCGGAGATGTCCGCTCCGTGCCGTTTCTGTGGCTGCGTAACCCAGGCAGAAGTCCCAGAGTCGAAACCGAGTGCTCCGTCCGGGTTTTTCGCATAGGCTAATCCCAACAAAACCCTCCTGACAAAGGCTGTGGCGGAATGACTTGCGCAATGTTGTCTGCGAAATGCACAGCAACTCGGGATATTCACAGCCAAGGCACCGGATCGAACTCGGCGTCCAATTCCGGCCTGAATGAACGTGGCATGCGAGGCGTTGCGAATTGCGAATCCAAACCCTTTTACGTGTTCACCTGAAGAGGAATCCAAGCATTTCGCACGATCAAGCATTCCCGTTTTATCCATGTTTTGTCTTACTTCCACTAGCGGCCATGCTTGCTCACCTTGCTACGTCATTGCGCTGAGCTTGCAAACGCCAGAACTAACTAACCATACATTGGCATAAGTTGCAGACCATAGCAGAACACCATCGCCAGCTTCCTGCAACTCAGACAACATATCGGCATGTTGCGATTCACACTTTGTGCTAGTTGTCTATCGCATCTCCGACCGATGTAGGATAACGCGACTCAAATATTTACATGCTACTTCCAAGGCATCACGTCCTGCCACCCGCTGGGAGGCTTCTTTTCCCTGTACCTCGACCGGTGCTCCGGAGGCTAAGCTCCCAGTCTGAGCAACCAATCTGCATCTTCACTTCGAGACAAACAAAGGCGGTGCCATCGAGGTCTTCGGTTCGATTGCGGTTCCGATTTCACTGACGAAGATCTGCCACACTTGCCATGACCAACTCTGACCCTAGCATACCTAATGCCATGAAACTCTGCGAGCTCTGTGGTGCGGGCAAGTTGTAAAACAAGTGCGCCGCTTGGTGCAGCAGCCTGGATCGAATCAGCGCCGGAACTGTTCTTAGAGATTTTGACTGGCATGCCAACTCGGCTTGTCTGCGGCAAGAGCGAGTATGCCATTCGTGTTGCTGTTCGACAGCAGTACTGCTTAACAGAGTCCGAATGCTCTTGTTCGGACAATAGGATGCAAAAAGCACCATGCGTCAGAAGAAGGGCAACCTGAACCAACTCCTGCCAAAGCCACACCAACCTGTTAGGTTCTGGTCAGCAAGCCCATGGTACTGCAGCGAGTCAAGCACCACGCTGCACAAGCCTACAGGTTCTGTCCGAACTGAGATAAGCACGTGATGTTGTCGACACACGGAATACCTTTCACCAGGTGTTTTGCACCGTGCCTTACTGTGCCCTCCTTAAAAGACTATATGACGTCTTATGCATGGAGGAAAAGACGTCGACGCCGAACCCATTTCGGCCCCTGCGGCACTTGGAGCCTCCATTTTGGATGAACTTTGGCAATGCCACTCCCTTCTCACCTCCTACCAGTTTCTACCACTGAACTTGACCCCACTCACGTTGAAAACTTTTCGCCTGCAAGTACCGGGAACTGCCTTTTTGCATGTCTGCAAAGAGGCCTGCTGTGATTGGCACAGCTGATAGAAGCTGCGAGTTGTTCTCAACTTAAGTTCCTGTGGCTGTTGTAGTCAATTGTAGCCACAATGGACTTCCCTTGAAAGAAGGCGAGGCACCTGGCTCGCCTTGGCCGGCAGACAGCTGCAAAACCTGTCGAGGCATCAAGTTCCAGTTCGCTTCTAGCGTCACTCGAAAGAACGCAAACCTCTCTGCATGCGTGTGTCAGGACTTCCTGTTGTGTCGATTGCCGCTCCTCTTGCACTCTCCTCTGGCCCTTTGGCAATGCTATTCCTCACACTCTGAGGATCTCCAGGTTGAGGTTTCAAAACGGTTCAAAGAAGCCTTGAGATTGAGTCAGGCCTGAAGCATCTTGCACTCACCAGGCGAGGCCTGAAGAACCTCCAGGCACGGGAGCACGGGACATGCGAAGCCGAAAGGACCTCGGAGCGCTCTGCCTCGCGCAGGTCTTCAGCGCTTCTAGGGGTTTGCAGTGCAGCCAGCGCGGCATCCATGCGATCCGCAGTACTGCCTGCCAATGAACACAGACTTGTTCATTGAGTGCACTGCTGGACGGTCGCAGCCTTCCGTCCAGGCAGTCCACCAATTCTTCAGCACCTCGCCGTGTTACGAGATTGCACTTTCGGTCGCAGGCCCACTGGAAAACTCGTGTAGCACATTGGAATCCGCCGCCCAGGCGCAGTACTGGTAGCATGACAGCAGTTGCCTGTAGGGATCGCGAAGGCGCAGTGCACGCTTTGGGGGGGCGGGGGGGGGGGGGNNGAAAGTTGAACCGGAAACATGCATGGCGTTTCGTGACTGCGATGTCCTGTGTCCAAGATGTTCTTCGCGGCGGCCGCAATCAAGGGCAGCAACACCACTGGGAGCTCCTGGACACGCGCAAAGCTCCCCATGCCATAGCCCCCTAGCACTGAAGGCAGGCTCAGAAATCATCAGGAGACCAGGACCCCTGCATGCTGCCACCACAGACAGAACACGGCCATCCTGTGCGTTCATGTGCGCTCTGGGTAATCCAAGCTGCAAGTGTTGAGTCGAACCATGGAGAAACGATGTGGGTTTCAACACTGCAGTCGGGGCTGTCCGATCGAACGCTCAGGCGCAGACAATCGACGATGCAGCTCCTCGCTCCTGCGAGGAGCCAAGAACAAAGACCCAACGGCGCTCGTCAGAAAGAGCTTGAGATACGAAACCACCCACGACTATGCAAGGAGCAACCGCTCAACGAGCTCTCAAGAGCTCCCAGAGAGAAGGCGAAGGATCAATGCGTTGCGAGCTGCCGTCTCGGCCTGCACAAACTGTCTCACACGTGCAGAGCAAGTCGTCAATTTATGTGGCTGTTGAAGTTTGCTCCACTTTGCACCGCGTGCATATATCACGAAAACATGGCCAGTCGGCCGGCACAATCGTGCTCTGACTGAGGCACCAACATTGAGATCATTCAGGACCTGATGCGAGATCTATATTGGATCTTTCATTTCTATGCAAGGTGCCTGTGAGGGGGTAAGGCACTGTTGTTACGTTTGTGCGGTTGTGTGTATGTACACTGCTTGTGTGTGTGTGTGTGTG